CCTGTTTACTTATACAGTAGCTTAACCGGCTAACATTGATTGTCTTCTGTAACGTTACGCCAGCAACCCTGCTAGCCGACTGTCAGCTTCCCATGTTGACTCATAGCCTTCGACGTGTCAACACAGTTAACGTTACCGGGTTGTCTGAGTCTAGGTAGCTGACCAGCCAGTGTTAGCAACATTAGCCGGGGTGAGCGCGATAAATCGGGCGGAGGATGCTGCCAACTCTCTACTCCTCTCTAAGCTACCTCAGAAAGACTTGTTGGCTACACATTGCACTTCTGCTGATGGTTTATCCACGATATAAGTGTGGTTTAGTAGCTTTTTATGTAGCGGTTATGTTCAGGGGCAAGCTGGCAGCTAGTCGTCTTGCTGTTTGACATGTGTCTTCTGAGGCAGTTAGCTTGTGTAGCTGTTAAAGTTGTACTTTCTGTTATTAATTAATTACAGGTAAAATGGCTAGTCCACGCACCAGAAGAGTTCTGAAGGAGGTGAGAACACAGGATGAAAACAATGTGAGTATCTTTCACAGCATCATTTCTATGGAGTTAGAGTAATAACAACTTTTTTTGTTTGTTTAAAACGCTCTTTTAATGGTGGATTAAATTATTTGTCCACCTCTTAATTGAAGTCCTTGTCTTGTGGCTTTGTAGACTTGCTTTGAGTGTGGAGCGTTTAACCCTCAGTGGGTGAGTGTTACCTATGGGATCTGGATATGCCTGGAATGTTCTGGAAAGCACCGAGGTTTGGGGGTACACTTAAGGTAAGAAACTTAAACCTCTGCTCTACTTGCGCTACAGAGTAAGGACACTGCATATAGTTAAGAGACACCAGAGTTGGCCTTCAAGGAAGTACACATTTCTCCCAGAAAACTAAAAAAAAGTAAATATTAAGTTCAAATTTGACATAACTGTTGTTTGACTTAAAGGTGGTAAATTATTAACTAATATAAAAAGAATTCAGTTTTTGTTTAATGCTTTACAGAAATGGCAGTTATCATTTCTAGGGCAGTCGTCCATGTTGTTGGTTGTGAGAGAGATTGTAATTGGTCGTACGATAAAAATGAATAGAAAAGGAATACTGTATATCATACACCTTTCACTGGTCAGGTGTAACCCTGCAGTAATTACAAGTGCTTGTTACATGTTTAAATAGTCACATAACTTTTAACAAGGGCTTAGTCACAAAAGTACATTTTCTTAAGTAGGTTCAGGTCTTTGACAGTTTGGGAACCACCTGTTTATTGGATCCTTCCAAGTCTTCTAACCGTAGAATGATAGCGGTGGGTAACGTATGATGTTGTTTTGGCAGCTTTGTGCGATCTGTCACCATGGACAAGTGGAAGGACATTGAGCTGGAGAAGATGAAGGCGGGTGGGAATGGCAAGTTTCGGCTGTTCCTGGAGATCCAGGACGATTACGACCCGTGCTGGACCATGCAGGAGAAGTACAACAGCAAAGCAGCGGCTCTCTTCAGAGACAAGGCGAGCGCACCTTCTCTCTTCTGCCTTTTGGGATATGCTGTGTCCTGGTGCCTGCTCAAGATGGTTGATTTTTAGCGTGAGTCTTTATGATACGGTAGCTCTGCATTAATGCTGATTAATGTGAATGTCGTAGGTTGCGACCTTGGCCGAGGGGAAAGAGTGGTCCATTGAGACGTCTTCTGCCAAGGACTGGACTCCTCCTCAACCCAAGACCGGCCTTTCCTCTACCCACCGGTACAAACCCTCCCCAGTTTTCCTTAATTACCATCCGGGGATTATTAAGGGTGCATTCCAATTAGAGCTGCACGATATATCGTTTCAGCACACGAGGCAACACGACTAATTTATTTGATCGTTTAAATCGACACCATAAAGCTCTGTATGACGAGTGCTAAGCCAGATCTGAATGCCATCCAAAGCAATAGAAACTATTTCCTGATGCCTTTGCAGACTTAAGAGTAAAAAGTAATTTTTTCAGCTTTTTTTAAAATTATTATTTTTATTTTCTATGCAGATGCACTTCCCTTAAAAAATCACCTCAATCATTCTAAAATGATTAATTCTCTCCAAATAGAGATATTTGAGTCATCTGGTGAAAATTCCTGTATTTTTTTTTTTATAAAATAATATGTATTGCAAAAAAAAAAATATTGTGATATCAGTTTTATCCCAATATCGTGCAGCTCTAGTTCCAATACTCAAATTTCGTCTCCTCCGCTCGTCTCCTCCTCTCCTCCGTGCCCTGGAAACTTATCTATGCATCCTGCCTCCCTCCACTGTTCCTAAAGGGTAGGAGACGAGATTTTGCCTCCTCGTCTCCTCCAAATGAAGGATACATTGATGCATCCTACCGTGGAAGTCCTTTCACATTTCTGGGTTACATCATTGTGCTCACAACCCATGAGATTAAAAGACCATCCCACTGAATATTTTGATTGGCTTAGGTATCTTCGGAATCAGTCGAAGTTACACGACTTTATCAACAGCTCAGGTCAACTTTGATAACGAGCTAATCGGATAAATTGTTCCAATTTTCGTTTCATCTCCCCATTTCCTCCCCTCCTTTCCTTCACGTACTTCCGGGGTAGGAGACAAGTGGAGGAGATGAGACAAGAAAGTGTTGAAACTTTCCCTGAGTATTCATTTCCATGTGTTGGTCAGTGCGTAATGGTGGTATTGTGGTGCAAAGATACCGTAGAAGCAAAGATGTTCTTTCTTTGAATTGCACACTCTTGCATTGACTTCACCTTCTTCAGGGTATCATTTTTTCCTTGTACATGTTCTTCCCATATCTTGGTACTCGTAGTTTTCTTATCCCATCATTATGACAGGTAAGCTGTTATGTGCCTTTCATGTTTCCATCTGTGGATTTCACATCACATTTGAGCGCATAGCAGATGCTCTTGTCCAGAGCAACATACACGGTTTACCTTTCTATACACTATCCATGTACTCAGCTGGATACTGAAGCAAATCAGGTTAAGCACCTTGCTTAAGGATGCAACAGCAGTGCCCCTTATGAGAACTGAACGTGTCACCTTAGGGTTGCAAGCTCCCTAACCATCATGCTGCTCTGCTGTCCGATCGTGGTATTGACTTATACCTATGGTCCGTAATGCATTTGCAGTCATTTAATTGTAAATTTTGCCCTTTTTAGCAGCTCTGCTGGTCCTGGGCAGAGTTCTGGACACTCCTCAGACAAAGCTTTTGAAGACTGGTTGAGTGACGATGTCAACTCCTACCAAAGGTGAGTGCTGTCACTCAGTGCTGTCCTCCATACTGCAGGCCAAGCGCCAGCAGCTTAACTTCTATGAACGTGTTTGGTGTGAGTCACTGGTCTCGGATACAGGCCACATTTTGTTCTCGCATAACAGCAAACATTTTTGATATAAGGTCTTAATGGAGCTGATAATTGCACCATTTTTGGTTCTGCCATTGTGAATATGGATTGCTCTATACAGTCATCCACAATAAACACGAATCTGTTTATCTTTGGAAGAGAAGACTGTGGATTGTATTCTCATTATCGCTCAGCGTGAAATATCAAATTCAACTGTGTGCTCAAGTGGTCATTAACTTGCATAATGTAAGAACAGGCTGCTCAAAAGGAAGAGGTATTTAAAGGTAACCGTTCTAATGACTGCTTTATCATGTGGGAGAGTTCATGAAATGTGCTACAACGGAGCCTCAAATGTTTGCCAAGCACTTGGCATTTGCACAGTTGGCACCAGAGCATCCAAGAGGCATCTTTCCCGTACGCTGCTCATCGTCAGAACTAAGAAGTCAAAGCTGGCACTGACTTCTGTTATAGACACAAGTGAGCGCTCTGGTGTGATATAATTTGATGGCAGATTTTGTACCACGCAGGTGGGTGGTTTTCTTATGCGTGAACTGGAGCCATCAAATCATTAAATAAAGAGAAAACGTAATTGAGAATCTCACCAGGGATTAACATAACTGGTTTTCCTTGCTCTTTTTGGCTCATGCTTGGCAAGTCTTAAAATTGATTATAGTGAACGAGCGTCTATCATTTGTTTATTGTTCAGGTAGTCTTACTTGTCAAGGTAATAAATCTTAGCCTAACCACCACCTACTCAGGTGTGGTAAAATACTGGAAAACCTAGTACTACTAAACAAAAGTCAGTTACTACGTTTGATGAATCATGATTTTGTCACGAATCAGGGAAGCACGACTCATTTTGAAAGCAGCAACGGAATGCTGTGACATTCTGTTTGATAAAAGATTTACGTGCTAGTCTTGTTTGTCCATCTCAACTATCCTGCTACGATAACGTAATTTCACCGGCAGAATTACTGTACTGGGTAGTTAGAATATCCGCAAATCTTAGAGTGAAATGAAACCCTTTTATTAAAGCGATGAAAAATTGTGACCTTTTTCCATAACCGTAGGAACCGAAAGTGATGAGCAGACGCTGAAATCTTTTTCAAATTTTCATTCAAACATCTCCAGTCATCCAAATACAATCGAAAACTGTCAATTACCTCAATTGTTACAATTACTTATAACTTACATCCAAATTTGCGTTTTGATCGGCATATTCGGGTAATAAAAACATTCTCTTCAAACAGTTTACTTGTTCGTGCACAATCTGAAATAATTGGCGTATATCCAAATCAGAGCTTTCTGTGGGTGTTGCTGCAGCACTTTGCTCTCCTACCATTGCCTAGATGGAGCGGTTCAGTCCTACAGCGGAAAACCTGATGGTACATCAACGTTTTAATCAGTAGTTCACACAAAGGTCCCAATGCTGTACACTTTTCCCTCCAGTGTGCACATAGTTTGGGTATGGGGACATGGGCTCTGCACTACACAAGTCTGAAGGCACCAATCAGTTGGCAAGCAGCTGAGCCAGAAAAGTTACATTGCAGCCATTCAGCTGGCGTTTTTATCCGAAGCGGCTTACAGTTTATAACTAACCAAGGGCCAGTCCCCCCTCAGAGCAATGTGGGGTTAAGGGCCTTGCTCAAGGTCCCAACAGCTATGGTGTTCTTGCTGTGGCTAGAATGGGGCTTGAACCACCAACCTCAGGGGTCCCAGTCATGTATCTTAGCCACTAGACTACTGGCTTTTGTACTGCAGACAGCCGACCAGACACCGAGTCTCTTGAGCTGGAGTTCAAGGTGTCTACTCTGCATGGTTTCCCTTCCACCTGTGGCAGAGATTTTTGTGCTTTTTTTGGTGATGCATTTTTCTTGTCTTGAAAGGAGAAAGTGTTTTAGGTATTGGCAGTGGGGGGAATTAGGGGATTGTGAAGAAGGAAATAGATGAGCAGAGAGCACTCAAGGAAATGTACAGCTCCTAGCTCCTGCACTGCTTTTCCCTGGGGCCAGGCGCTCCACTGAAAAATCGAAAGTAATACTTGGGTTTTTTTCTTAACCTTGAATTCTGTGATATTAGAAGGATATTTTTTGCGATGGTCTAAGATATCCAAATTCCTGGCATTTTTAGGAGGCCTCTTCTTCTTCCCTAGACTGTTCTTTTTTGCGAATGGTCAGTTGATTTGTAACTATTCTGTCATTATGAGTGTATAGTTTGTGTAGTTAATGGTTCTGTACGCTTTATTATTTTGGCCATTATTTACAAGCTCTCAGTGTTAGTGGAAAGTTGATGTTAGCTGTTTTACTGGAAGGCAGAGTCCACAGTGTTAAGCATCGCATTGTCAATGGATAATAGATTATGTTACTTGCCCCGCAGTGGAGGTGGCTACAGCAGTCAGGAGAACCGCTATGTCGGCTTTGGGAACACAGTCACCCCTCAGAAGAAGGAAGACGACTTCCTGAACAACGCTATGTCCTCTATTTACTCGGTAAGGTTAAAGCTAAAATACATGACATACAGTGAAGAACACTCAGCTGAATACAGTTTATAAAATGTCAATTTGCACATCGTTTTCTAATTCTTAAAAATTGTAATTATTTTTGGCAAATATGAAAACGGGCCTTATAAAATAAGCACCGTGCATCATTTTTAAAATAGCCAGATATAAATGTAAATATTTATTTGGTTGAAAATTAGAAACAGGTGCTTTGCAAGCTGTTCTCCATCTCATCACAGCTTTGTATTTTCAGGGCTGGAGCAGTTTCACGGTTGGAGCCAGCAAGTTTGCATCGGTGGCTAAAGACAATGTGAGCAGTATTCTTGTACCTCTTTACCAATGTGGATATAACCCTGCTCTTGCTTCACTATGTGACTTGACAACTGTATTTAGTATCATAAGGATGTTATGTCCTGATATGGCAAAATATGACTTTCCATCCCAGTGCAATGTTTTGAGACCCTCAACAATATTTACCTCGTCCTATGGTTTTCATATTTGGTCAGTATATAACCTTATTGCTGGAGAGCAGAAACATATACGTAATTTTAATGGTTATATCTTTGCAGAACCACAGCCTATTATAACCATCGGTTTAAGCTAGTAAGGCTATCGTACACTGTCTGAGATTCAGCAACACTTGCCTGATTTCAAGTTAAACAAACCAATGAGTTGGCAAGTGATGATTTAGTTACAGAAGTTCACTTATGACAGAGATGCACAGCAATATGTATGTGTATGTTTGACAGATGACTTAACGGATAAGATGAGGTGGGGCCCATGGGGGCAGGGTTGAATGATTAAGTAGGTCACATGTTTGAACTTCTGACCAATCATAGGTAAAGAATGGTAAGACTCTGACCAATGGCTTACACACTCATAGTGCTAGGCTCAGGTCTCCCAACAATTTTTGAATATTTTCCCTCTGTGGAAATTCTAGGCTCTGCAATTCCAGGGCTCAAGGGCTTTCGCTATCACATTTTTTAATACCACAAATCTCAGTAATTATTTCCAAAACGCTTTACAGGCAAATTTTGTTGCTAGGCAATTTGCTGATAAATTTGCTACCACCACCTTTTCCCTTGCCCTTTTCCCAGCTGGCATCTGCAATGTTTGTAGAGAGAAGAGCTTGTGGCTCGTTGCCTAATTGCTTACCTGAAATGAATGTTCTTTGTCTAGATATGTATGCATGTTCAATTGCTGCATGGATGGCACAAAATTCAGTCTTTATTGTGCTAATATTTAACTCTCAGCACCCACGCCTTAATTTTTTTTCCCTTTTAAACAAAAAACATTAACATTGCTGCCCCTAAAACTTACAGTGACAAGCATGTTTTTTTTAGTTAGTATGATCATCTTCATATTGGCATATAATGAATGAATATGACTACGATTTATTTGAAATATAAATCACTGCCTATATTTCAACCTGGGACAGAGTTTTTATGAACTGAATGTATCGAGCTAGGCAATGCTAACAGCGTCAGGGGAATGAAAGTGACTGACGAGTGGCCGATTCCTCTCGCAAGCTCCACACATTCATTTCCGAGACGCTATCTTTCATTGTCCCCAGAGTTATCCGAGTTGCAGGTTAGCGCCGAAAACAAGCATAATTAAACTCGAGGGGTCAGCGTGCTGAACGAAACCGTGCCTTTCTCATTAAAAAGCAAAGTTCAGTTTTGTTACAGAAGCACAGTCTGTCTTTGTGTGTCTGATGTCACGGTGAAACTAACCCATAGCAGGGGAAGGCAAATAAAGGCAAGTGTATTAATAATGGAAAAATGAGAAAAATGGTGAACTTCGAAATATGCACTAACTCAGATTCACCATCCATAAATAGTAGGAAACCAAGGCAGGGAACTATACATTTCTCACAGCATTAAATTACAATATTGAAGCATACATTCAGTGATTACCAAACAGACCGTTTCAAGCAGCTGTCTCGTCCTAGTCCTGCATCACACAATACTGCGAGTATTTCTGGAGTTTATTTTAAGGGTCTTCTTGAGGGAATTGCAGCCACTTTGTGGTAAATAAAATAGGACTTGCTGTGTTGACTATTTAAATATTTAGTATTTTTACAGATATCGTTCTGTTTTCTTTAAAATACCCAGTCAGATCTTCCTCCAACACAAGCCTTGCCCAGCATCACACGACTCCCACTGTGCCCCGAGGTCCAGAATAATTAATGTGGAAAAAAAAACGGCAAGAACACTCTCTCAGCCTATAATGCTACACAACCAGTTTATTTTCTTAACAAAATGTCTTTTTTTCTCTTCGTCATACAGACCGCAAAACTTGCAACCCAGGCCACTCAAAAGGTATGACTTTATTTTTGTAATACTTTTCAACCTTCGGAAATCTGCCAATCTTGTCTGCTGCTGGCTAAATCACTGCTTTTAACAAAGGTTCTAACCTAATCTTAACCTGTATCTTTATTCGAATCTAAATTTAATCTTAAATGCCAAAGTTTTGAAAAGAAATATCCATACAGGGTTCTCTACTCTCTGTGGTTTGTGTTGATGTTGTATGCTCATGGAAATTTTTTTAAATTTTATGTGAGCGGTTTCATTGTCGCTTGATTTAACTGTAATCCAGTTAACCGTAATGTTAAACAAATGCATTTTACATTTTATGGGCTTTTACAATACTTAAGTGTAGATGCATAGATCCATAAAGGCATACTGTCAAGTAGTATAAACAAATCACTTAGTGGGTCACCTCTGGTGTTATAGAACAGTGTGTTTGTTGATTTGATTTAAGAGTTTGTCCATATGCATTGGCTGTGAACAGTTATAGTTACATAAAACAGTACGCCAAACACTTCAATTCAACACTTATGAATTGTGACATAAATAATCTGTAAATGCTTCTTTGTAGCTTTTCCCAGAGGAGATTTTCTGTTGAGTATTAAATTTTTAGATATGTTTCTTTCACAAAATGGCAAAATTCAGCATTCAACAGCAGACACTCTGTACTGCAGTGTGGGGCATATCCAATCTGAAACACTGCTTGCAGTCTTTTGCTGTCACAACTGTGTAAGCTCTGTAGCACATGCATAGATATGATTCTTTCCAGAGGACAGTCCCTTTGGTTTGAGCTCTTCCATATAAAGGACTGTGATCACTATGGTAGAAGTGGTGAGGGTACACTCTGGAAGGTAAATAGTCATAGGTCATGGTTTGTTTCCTTGAATGGCAAGCCCTTGGATGACCATCTGACTGACCTCTTTGGGGAAAAAAAGGGGGGATGGTTTTTGGTTTCTGCTTCAGGATTTCTGAAGCACTTTTAATTGCCTGGCTGTTAAAGCACCCACTTTTAAGAAATAGTGAGTTGTAATATTTTTTTAATTGTGATGGGTTTGACCAAGCTTCAAACTGCAACATGGGTGAGCTTCTCTCTAAACAAATTGCTTTTGCAGCCAGATATTTTTTTCTGCTAAGTGGTTTTATATATGGTAGAAAGATAGTGATGGGGAAATAAGGTTTCATTGAACCAAAAGTGGGAGGAGCTACCATATAGCATCACTGACTCAATTATTTGGACCAATGAAAACAGTGACAGGTCAATAATTGACAGTAGAGTTGAACTCCATGCTGGTTCATGGGGCTATTGAAACCTCATTTTAGCCATCACTAGTGAATTGTTGCAGGCTATGGTAGACCCTGAGATGTGGATAGCTGTAGGTCACAGTAGACCATGAAATGTGGAAAAGTGTGTAGACCATAGTTTGAACTACTTGTTGCTTCCTTTGCTTCTCGCTGCTCTCTCTGTGGATGTAGTTCAGGGGCTATAGGCCACCTCCAGAGCCGGTAAAGCAGTCCCACCTCTCTCTGCATGCCGTACCTGTCTGTCTGTGCTGTGTCAGTCTCCCAAAGGATACCCAGCTCAGGGAAGTGAAAGGCATAAGCCAGTTAACTTAAGCTGCGAGCGCTGAGACAAAGCAGGCTAGCAGCTAACACCCCGCGTAATCAGATTCTTATCGCTCCCCACAAATCCCTCGGATGAAATTATCTCAACGATATTCTATACCCCGCAGCTAGATTATCTTTTTTTTTTCCCTATCTTTCTGAAATGATTTCTGACGTAGACTTAATTGCCAGTACCGTGTCTCGCACTGAGCTGTGCCCTGAGGTTCTGCAGCTTTTAACCATCAGCCCTAACACACCTGAGCAGCTAACACACTTCCTGCTTGTACCCGTGATGTAGATGGTGTGTCGAATGTCCTGCATTGTAAGCCTGTGTAGTTTA